CCCCCCCCCCCCCCCCCCCCCTTTCTCCCCTGTCCCCGCCCGCTCTTCCCCTTCCTGCGATATTAACCTAATTTCAAAAAAAGTATTGTTGAATTAGGATTTCAGTGGAATTTCCCATCGGCAATGATAACCCGAAAAGCAGCCGCAGCATTGGCAGTTGGATGTACTGTGATTGTCAAACCTGCCGAAGATACACCACTTTCTGCGCTCGCACTTGCCCAGGTTATTTTTTCGGTTGTGGTGCTCATTCTCATTCCCTTATTAGCAGGAGAAGAAAAGGGTGGGGATTCTCCATGACTTCACTAGGAGTGAAAAAATCAGACAGATTTTCAAAAAGTCCGAGAAAAGCTTTCAAATTTTGAAGATCTTCATGCTTTTTAACACTGAAGAATTTTTTTCGCCCACCATAATTTTTATGCGTTTTGTTTTACTGCGCTATAGCGATACTACGGCGAGCAAAAACAAATATTGTGACGAACCTGGTGTGTACGCCTGTGTGTGTGTATGTGTGCGTCTGATTGGGTATTTCAACTCGGCAACCAAGCAAGCTCCGGCGCTAAAATTTTGCCAGCGGGTTCCAACGGCCAAGTGCCGGCCTAGAAGTGCGATACCAACTCTCACTCATATCTGGGCCTCGCATACGACCACGTAAAAATTTTTTGCGGAAAACCACTACTCGGGAGCTGAAATTCTCAGGGAATGTTCCCAGCCCATATACAATTTAAAGATTTCAATCTCAGCCCCCTGTCGCGCGTGGTACTCACGTACAGCCTCTTTAAATCCTTTGGCGGGAAAATTGCTAACTCGGGAACTAGGAAAACTGGGATTTTAACAGAATGTTCCCTTTCCAAGTAACACATGGTAGTTGTACAATCAACTTCGTTAAGCTTGACGACTAGCATGTCACATATTCTACCTACTGTGATTCCAAGTAATCCTACTACAGCACGAAATACTGCAAAAACTCATGATCGCACGGGCTCGCCTGGTGCGCATCACTAATGATTTAAAATTAGAAGTCTAATATATATGTAATACATTCGACAGAAAGTTTTCTAAGGTGGTTACTTCAGGAAAAGAGGAGAGCTACGTGATAGCACAAACTGATTGCAGGAACTATCCAAAATGTTCTAGGTTTTTAGACAGCAAAAGATGCAGGTCTACCGGATGGCGTGTTTAATGTGTTACCTGCTGATTTAAAGAAGACTGAACAGATAGCCAAATATCTCTGTGAATCCATCGATGTCAGTGCTATTTCATTTACGGGAAGCACTGAAGTGGGCAAGGTACGTAATTCTTGCCTTCGCATGCTTCCTGCGCAGTAATCTTCAAACGGTCAGGTCATAAAATATGAGAGGGCCAGTGTCAACCAAAACCTTCTGTGCTTTATTTTTTGCAACAAACGATGGCACTCAAAAGTGACGTAGTGGATAGCAGCTTGCAAACAAGGGTCATCCTTGCTAAGCATATCTGGATAGTCTTGATATTCTAGTCTCTTAATGAACACCACGAAAGTAAACGTGAGGACGTCTTGCGGAGAAAAATTCATGTAGCTGGACTGAACAACTCAATGACTTTTTTAATCTGTTTAAAACAGCACCCAAAATTTGTGCATTTCACTCTGGGCAGCACATGAATTTATTCTCTCGTGAACATCTTGCTAACCAGCCTGACAATAGTCCTGTTTTCTGCATATATGTCAGCAGCGTAGAATCCCCGCCCGATTCTCTTAATGGACTTGGTATTCTTATTTGATTGTTTGGCAGAGGAGCTGAAAACTATTCAGTTCGTGACACAGTCGGTTTATCAGACCAATTTACTATTGCAACGAACCGACGGTTTAGGGGACTCTGTTTCTTTGAGCTTCGATCCAGTTGAGGCTTTTTAACTGGAGCATAATGGGGGGGGGGAGAGGGGAGGCCCTTTGTTTTGCTAATTTAAAGCTAAAAAAGGTGAACGGAATTTAATTAGAAATATCTGATACTTTATGCGTTTTCACTCGTAACCGCTTTATAATTTGGGCTTGCAGTTATTAAAGTAAATATGTAAACGTGAAACTAGTTTGTACTTAATTTATATAGTGTTTTTCTTTTCTAGCTTTTGCTGTCTCAATCAGCGAACACAGTGAAAAGAGTGTGCCTTGAATTGGGAGGTAATGCGCCACTGATTGTTTTCCCATCCGCTCATATGGCTGCTGCTGTTGAGGTTTGCTGCTTTTTAATTATTTGGTTTATTTTGTTTCCTCTAAAAATTTTCACGTTTGCCTTTTCGGATGTGCCTATTAGGTTGGAGGACCTGAAAAAATTGTAAATATTTGGTAACAAAAAAAGAGACCTTAAAATCATATAAAAACCTTATTTGATATTCGTCGCTTTATCCCCGTTTCTGGCCCTATTTTAGAATGCATTTGCATTCACAGACGTTCCACTTTGTTATTTTTCCTGTCAATTCCTTTTTTTAACCCCCTTAAAAACCCTTATTTCCATTTTCCCTTTTCACATTTCCCTTTACCTTAATTACCATTTTTA